GCCAACTGGGGGAGGCGGGAGGGAGGGTCCCCGCGGGCGGGGGCTCCCGCCCCGCCCCGCTCCGGCTGCCGGCCGCGGGGAGGGAGCGGCGGCTCGGGGAGCTTCGCGCTCGGCGTCCTCGGGGGCCACGCCGGGCTCCGGCCGGCGGAGACGGGGGCTCGGGTGGCCACGGGGTGCTGCTTCTCTCCGCGGCGGGCGACAACTTCGGCCGGCGGCCGGGACGCCTTCCCCGGGACAGCGCCGGCCGCCCGACGGGCAGGGCAGGGTGGGCGGACGGGTCCGTGCCCGAGTACTCACCCCTCGGAGCGGCGGAGAGCCGCTCGCTTCATTTCTGCTTCGGTTTGGGTTTTGGGTTTTTTTCCCTACCTCGGCCGAAGTAAGAAGTTGTAAATAAGGCGGCGGTTTGCCGCAGCTCCCCTCGGTGCCCATCAGTCGCTGTCGCCTCCCGCCGCCCGCCCCGCACCGCCCGCGCTCCCTGGACGGCATCTCCCCGTTGTTCGGGCGTGCAGCTTCCCTGGAGACCACATGGAATTGAGAGCTCCTTCTTAAAAAGCATACGTATATCAGAATTTCGTAATAATCCACCTGTCTTTATTTTGAGGAAAAGGCATTAATCAGGTGCTGCAACACACATGAAATGCACCATATAAAGCCTCTTACAAATCCTTTCCTCACAGGGAAGTTTCCGATGCATTTTTCAACACTCCCTGCTGTCATAACTAAACACTTCCTTACAGTTTGAATTATGCTTTTAAAACTTCATGCTGCATAAGAACACAGAAGCACAGCAGTAGAGTTTGCAAATTACTGAGAACTCCACTGAGTTCTCTGATTAAAAGGTAGAGATCGATTGATGTTCTCACTGGCTTCTGAGCTATTTGAGATAAGAAATAGAATGATTCGTCACTGATACTTTGATTTTTGGTAGGAATAGCATGGCTTGCAGAAAAGGGGGATGCCTGCACGCCAGCCTCCTGGGCTTACACCACTGCTTCCTTTCCTGTTTTATATTCAGCCTTCACATTTGCATGTGTATAACAAATGTAGATAACGTGGACACTCTGTCTATCTATCCTTCACATCTATCCCAAATCGAATTTTTATTCAAAAGGACACACACACAGAGGACATCGATCTGATGTAATGTAAGCTGGAATTCATGAGAAAGTGAGGGTGACACCTGGCCAGGCACTGAACATCTGAATGAAGAAACATCTGTGTAGCAAAGAGATAATTAGAGTTAGCATGTTTAGTGGAGGAGTGGAAGAGTTATTATGTGATTAATGAAATAATACGGAGGAATGGAGCAAGCATAAATAGTTCAATATATTCAAATCGAGAAAGTCTCAGACACAAAATTTCAGCTGCCTAGTTTATGCCGGTGCTGTTTATCTAGAGGACGATCACCTAAACTGTGTCTTTCCAGTGACTGAGCACACCATTGTTTTCTCATTTCCAGTGCAATTCTATTTACAGAGATAATTTGTTCAAATAAAGCAAACGTGTATCAAAGCAACATACCAAGAAGATATTGCTTGGTATCATTTGCAAGTCAGCAATCATTTGGATTAATGATTATTATTAATTAACTTTGGAAGTTAATTCTAAGCTTGCCACTTCTAGATACTCTATGATACCATGTCAGGGTTCTTAAAAACTTGTTGGGACCTAGAACCTAGAAACTAAGGGTTACAAATGAATGTGTTTCATTGGCATTTTTTATAGCCAAACATATTACAATATCTTTAAAATACTGTTTTTCCCTTTATATTACCTTTCATCCAAAAATATTATCTTTAGTTAACTTGTGTGTTGTATTCAGAGCCTATAGAGGATACTTAATAGTTTAGGGCTGTAAGACCTTAGTAAAAGCAGCAATAAGAATAGCTGAACATAATTGCAGCAGTTTAGGAAGGAGCACAAACAGTAAGCACCAGAGAGGTATCCCAATGAACTGTGATCTTCCATCTCTTTAATTGTACTCCTGAATGCTGGCAACTCTGTTCCTCTGTGCTTGCTAGCAAATACTGCCTTTACTCCCACCACAGCTGCTGTAACAGCAATATGAGACACGTGGTTATTTGATAATAAATTGCAATGAATACATTTTCCCCTCAGAAGCATTGTAGCACTTTCAGGTGCCACAGAACAGGCTCGGATGTCATGAGCCAGATACATCAGGTGTGATATCAAATAATGCAGCAGCATTTTCCCGTTAGCTTCACGTGCAGATTATTCAGATGGAATGATAAAAGATAATGAAGGCACTACATACAAGCCAACTGCTATTTATTAAATTGTTGTTTCTTGATAAACAAGGCAGAATATTCTTCCTCTGGAAACTGGAAGAACCCAGTCAAATTACCACTCCATTTGTGGGGGTAAACTGTCTACAAAGATACTTTTTTCAGCTGAACACCTTAGCACTGGTTATTATAAAAATTGTCACATTTGATTTGAGGCCTCAGGTGCAACTCTGAAATAAAGGACGAGTTTCTAACTTGTGATGGATGGTACCAATCACTGTGTGACTCAGGCTGTTCCTATGGTTTCACACATAGTATGCAGCACAGTGCATATTCTGGGTAGTATCAGTGTGTGTGGGCAGGCATTTCTCTTTAGGATCTGGTCCAGAATTGTTTGTTTGCAGTAGTTTATGGTTTGGGTCATCTATTATGGTGTTGTGATTGCTGCCTCCATTCTCCAAAGATTTTTTTCAGAGATGTGTCAGGACTTGGCATCCAATTTTTCATTTGTTTTCAAGAAAAGCTACCTCTACTTCAATTTCTTGTGCTTCTTACCAGCAGAGGATACATGACTCTGGCAGGAGAATGCTTAACACAGTACTAGAGAGCAGCCTGTGTGTGCAAGTGTGCATATGCACACCCATACTAAAGGAATCCCATCCCTAGGAATGCTCTCCTCAGGCCCACGGAAGCTTCCTGTTTCAAACAGGAGCACACAGCAGATGCTGGCTGGATGCAGTCACAGGGGGCTGTGTAATGCCAGCCAGCAATGTTGTGCCCTGGCTCCTTTCTTCTTCATTGCTTTCAGTCTTTCCAATGTCTGTAGAAAAGGATAGGTGTGGCAGAGGAGTTGCCTTAGCTGTGCAATGGATGTACAGTTAAATTAAAACAATTTAAAACAATTCAGCTCTTTTTGCCTTTTTCCCCTTCCTGACTCAGGGTCACCCACTCATCAGGCAGCTCTGTGTAGAGACTTCTGCTGCACCCCCATCCAGCCTCTCAGCTGGCCATGCCTGGCAGGGGACAAGCTGGCCAAGCCTTTTGCTTGCTCCATTTGAATTTCCCCAGTTTCTGAACATCAGGATTTGCTAAAGCTAGGTACAATAAAAACTGTGTTGTTTGGTTTTGGTTTTTTCCCCCCAGTTATTGGAAAGTGGGTCTGAGTAATATGATAGCATTTGAAATAAAGCTATTAAAATTTATTGTTTCATAGGTTCTGCAGCTGATAGAACTATTACAGTCCCGTGGGAAGCAGAAGCAAAATCAGTTGGATAAGCATATAAAAATGTGCAATTATTTTTAACTAGTGGATGAAACACTGGAGAGAAATAGTTTCTATTTCACATGGTTGTAATTGAGTAGATTAAACCTAAGGATGGTTCATGTCTTTGGGCTGTTCCATATTTTTCTTTCAAAAGCAGTGACTGGTGATGACTGGAGGTGGGTAATTAGGCCTGGCATGCAAAGGGGGCTCATCAGCCTGGCTTCTGTGATGGGCAAATCCAGATGCCAGGTGACTCAAATCACAGCAGGCAAAAGAGTAGCCTGCCTGTCTGAATGAAATATAGGCAGTGTAGTTTCCATGTTTGCAGTTACACCTTTTGGCATTGCCCAGTCAATCAAAATGTGTAATTTGACAAAAAAAAAGGGCATTGAGGCTGCATCCCACAGGAGTGTCAGAGAACATCCGCTGTGTACTGCACACTGAAGTGCACAAGGCTGACCTCAGTGGAGTCACAGTGTATCCAGGGATTCAAATGAGAACAGATTTATTACACGTTAGTGAAGGCCCAAAAGACCAATGTGTGAGCCAGGCATCCTGCTGAGAAGGTTCTGCCATCTGACAGGCACAGATCACCACTCCAAGTGTCTGCACAGAGGTACCTTGCCATGGGCAAGGGGCAAAAAAGGTACAAAAAAATGAAGCTTCAGCACAGAGTACAGCAAAAGCATAATTTCTTCTGTCCTTTTCTGCTCCTTTACACTTATTTCAGCCTCATTAGACCACCTAAGAGTTTTTCTAAGAAAGCACATTTTCCTATACTATCCAGTTATGGGAGCCCCTGAGAAGTTTAATCATCCAGCTCAGAAGAGAAAGCCCCACACCCTCACTCAGGACACTGTGTGTCAGAAAACACAGCCTGTGGAGACTGGGCTGGACTAGCTGAAATAACGTATGAGGGGTCTGTGATGCTCCAGAAACAGGAAACCAGCTGCCCAAGCTGACAGTGAGAACTGAGACTACATGTTTATGCATGTAGGCC